TGGGAACGGCAGGGGTGCGGGGGGGGGAGACTCCTGTTCAACCCCCTCGACCCTCAGTCTGTGGAGTGTTTCAGGTTTCCATTAATTCCCCGTACTATACCACAGAGGCATGAAAAACTGGAAAGAGGCTATCTGGAATGTTATTATTATGTCTTATTATTTTATATGTCTGTGATTTTATCATGATTTTATTTGATCATATTTGTATTTTAAACAATTGTGACAGCTTTTAGCTAATACAATAAGCTTGAACTTGACTTGGCTATCTGGAATGTTGTGGTCCGGCACCACCCATGTGAGGATGACACACAACTCCGCCTGCTTTTTAAGATCTTCCAGCTGGCCCTTCTCTCAGCCTCTCAAGCCTCCAACATCTAGCCGTCCCCTGCGCCAATGAAAACAGTAAGACATAAACAAGCAGAGGATAAAAGTCATTTTGACTGAATGAATGAATTCTAAGCTAATTAACAATCTAATGACTGAATTTCCTGCCTCTAAGAAAGTCTCTTCCAGGAAACCAAGAGGAGATTCAGACAATTTCCTGAGAATATTTTTCAACCCCAAATCATCATCAGCAAACCCCACACAAGACTCCACAGACACACACACACTTTTCCCAGTGTAGCCCACCTTGGCTGCCAGATGGGGCGGCATAGAAATGAAACATCATCAACAACAACGATATCCACATCCCTCCCTCCCTCCCAGTCTTCTCCCACCCCATTTCAAGCCCCATTTCTCTGGACCCCTTCTTCCTCTTCCCCCCCCCAAGGCCCCCATTTCCCACTCGGGGCTTTCCAGGAACTTCCCCCCCCAAGGCTTTCCAACAAAAGGGGTTTCCTGTGAGGGGGGGTCACTCTCAGACTTTGGCTGGGGAAGGTCTTTTGGGGGGAAGGAGGGAGAGGCGAGCCTGAGTAGACATGGTCTAGAGGGGCAGGGTGAATAAATGAGGGGACTCTGGGGATAAAACACACACACACACACACACAGAGGTAAAGGGGGCCCAGGTGGCTTTGCTTTGCTGGGGGGGTCCCTCCTGCCGCTTCGGAGTATCGGGATATCGGGTCCGCCCTGACTCCCCGCCTCTCTTGCCTCACACACACTTCCTGCTTTCCGTTCTCCCCTTGACTTC